TATTTGCGACTCTTCCGCAAAAGCCAGACCAAAATCACAAGACAAAGAACTACAGTAATTTTAAACTCCGAGACATCGTCTTATTGATGAAAACCACACAAAACACGGGGCTTTCTACTTTTTGACCCAAAAACCTCCCGAACATAAACGACACACCCCGCGCGGCGGCAGATGCAACGCCTTCCTTGTTGTTGTTGTTGCTGTTGTTGCTGATGTTGTTGCTGATGTTGTTGCTGATGCTGTTGTTGTTGTTGTTGCTGTTGCTGTTGCTGCTGTCGTTGTTGTCGTCGTTGTTGCTGTTGGTGTTGTTGCTGTTATTGTGGTTGTCGGTGTGTCAGTGGAGTTGTGGTTGTGTTTGTGGTTGTGGCTGTTGTTGTTGTTGTGGTGGATGTTAGTGGTTGTTGTTGTTGTTGTGGTGGATGTTAGTGGTTGTTGTTGCGGTGATTGCTGTTGCTGCTTGTTAATCACAATGGCTGGTGTTCTCGCTGTTGTCCTTTTGTGTCGCTGGCAATGCTGTTGTCGCGACTGCCTCCACTGCTGCTGCCTTTAGTGCTGTGGTTGGTCTTGCTGCTATTCTAAAATGTTCAACCGCCTCTTGCTATTATGGCTGTTGCTGATGGTCCTGTTTTATGTCCATGCTGTTGTTGTTGTTGCCATCGCTGTTGTTGCTGTTGCTGCTATTGCCGTCGCTTTTGCTCTTGCCTTTGATCTTCCTGTTGGCGTTGTTGCGGTTGCAGTTGCTGTCGCTGTCACTGTTGCTATCTGTTGTTACTGTTACTTCTACCGCTGCTGCTGTAGATGATGATGTTGATACTGCTGTTGTCATTTATGTTGCCGTCCTTGTCATGATTCTCGTCGTCGTCATTGTCGTTGTGGTTGTCGTGGTGGTTGTGCAAATCCTAGCTGGGTTGGCTCTTATGGCAATACTGAGGCCGGCGCCGCTTGAAGCGTTGGCATCGGCAACTGCGCAAAAGCACATTCAAGTTGGGCGGGCCTGCCCTGAAACCCTTCAATCCCCAAGCTGAAAACACAACAGCCCTCATCCGAAGCCCTGAGGTTGATACCCTGCAACCCTCAAATGCTAAACCTCAGTTATGAACATCAGAACCGTCCAAACCTAAACTCTGCAAGTGCGTCGAGCTCTTAACATGCATGTTAAAACATGACAGAGAGAGAAACACAATAGCCTTAATAACAATATCACGTATAATAATGAAAACGACTGCCGTAATTGCTATAAAAGCTATTATGATTTCATAGTGCAGACATTGGTGAAACTTGAATACTAAAAGAAATCAGAGTGCAAATAAGAATAGCCAATAGCAACAATACTCACTTAACAACTAGTAGTAGAGGAGGCAGTAGCAGTAGTAGTAGCAGTAGTAGTAGTAGCAGTAGTAGTAGTAGTAGTAGTAGTAGCAGTAATAGTAGCAGTAGCAGTAGTAGTAGTAGTAGTAGTAGTAGTAGTAGTAGTAGTAGTAGTAGTAGTAGCATTAGCAGTAGTAGCAGCAGTAGTAGTAGTAGTAGTGGTAGTAGTAGTAGTAGTAGTGGTAGTAGAAATGGTAGTAGTAGTAGTAGTAGTAGTAGTAGTAGTAGTAGTAGTAGTAGTAGTAGTAGTAGTAGTAGTAGTGGTAGTAGTAGTAGTGGTAGTAGTAGTGCTAGTAGTAGTAGTAGTAGTAGTAGTAGTAGTAGTAGTAGTAGTAGTCATAATAACTAGTAGTAATAGTCGTCAGTAGTAGTAGTAGTAGTAGTAGCAGTAGTAGTAGTAGTAGTAGTAGTAGTAGTAGTAGTAGTAGGAGTAGGACTAGGACTAGGAGTAGGAGTAGTAGCAGTAGTAGTAGCAGCAGTAGTAGGAGTATCAGTCGTCGTCGCCGTCGTAGTAATAAGAATCGCAACAACAGATCGGGCCTGTGGCACTTGAAGACCTCGGAAGTTCCATTGGAGGGACCTTGGGCTTCAGATTCTTCAGAGCGTTGGGATTTACTGTATGCTTCTCAGGACAAGGAAGGGATCAGAGCTCGGGCTTACTAAAGGTTGTTGGGTTGCAGGTTGTTCTCATGTCACTTGCTGGGGTTAGGGTTGTTGCGTTTCTCCAGCCGCGGAGGGCCTAAGCTGACGGCATGCGATGCGCCTTAGATTCTGGCCTCCTGCTGGTGGAACGAATTCAGATGGTCTTACAATTTGCGGCTTTCACATTTAAGGCTTCGGGGTTGGAGATAAAGGTTGATGGCGTTGAAGGAAGAAGCCCCCTCAAGTGAATAGGTAGAATGGGCTGTTGTTTGATATGCAAGCTCTCAAAGGCATGTCCGATTGGAAGAAGCTTTGGTTGCGTCTGTGGTTCGAGACAAGTTTGAGATGTATGTACCGCAGAGGCTCTGTACATGTTCCACTTAATCATTTGCTCTAGCTCTGCTTGTGGAAGACAATATTATGCCTTCTTTGGCTTGCATGCCTGGCTGTTTGCCTGAATGCTCACATGCATGCATGTACAAAGCCATACATAGACGCACTGCGTAACGTAATATGCCGAGACCTATGCATATGCATAGGAAGCAAACAACACACCGATCCAAGAATCAGCCGTACTCGTTTATGTAAGCGCACCAATGTGTCCCAACTTGTCCATGTTTCAGCGCTTATATCGCCATCACCCCCCTGTCGTATGAAACTCGGCTCTTCTAGGAGCACTGGAGCCCCCGCACAGGCGGCATGCCGCAGCCCCCGCAAACGATGGGAATGGTGGGCGCCTTGGGACCGTGCTCACGCTGCTGGGATGATAGGAATTGGGGCTCAGAGTAGCCAAGCGTGGCCGGCGCCTTGACAGCAGGAACCTACTTTTACACCACAACTCCAGTTTCCAAACCTTTCCAAATCTCAACCTCCGTGGCCTCCCCAGCGCCCCTTGAATCTCTCAGGAATGAAATGCTGGAGGTGTAGGCACTCCGTCCTGTGACAATACACTACAGTAATATACAGGCCTTGTTTTAAAGTCAATAGCAAAAATAGGGTACCCGTTCAGGGTTCCTTTCCAAGGGCTTGATAAGGGTTATGCGTTATAGGGGTTGCCATAACGGTCCAGTATAAGGGCCACAATCATTTCAGCAGCACCAACGGAAGTAACACTTAACCAAGGCCTGCGATACACATTTGTATGACTACAACCATCGTATTCATCATGCTATCTCAGCCTGCTATGCTCATTGCTACGAAGGCAGCAGCAACGACACGACGTGGTATTTCATAAATTAAGTTTTGGTGTGACTGTTGTACTTATGACAAGGCTGCTGACTGCTTGTGGTATTGAACCCGCAAACACCCTCTGTTCCGACAGGGTGCCGGTAGACCAGGGCCACCAAACCTTGGCGGAAGCTTTGGTGACTCGAAGGCTCGAGGTAAGCGAACAAGCTTGCTGCGACTCTGGCAGATCGTGGAACTGCATACAGGATATCCGGTGCGCTGCGGCACAATGCCAGACAAACCGGAGTGTTCTGGTAAGCCCCGCACTGCTGGTCATTTCAGAAAAACTTACGGCCTAGATCTCACAACCTGCAATACCCTGGCAGTGCTCGATATGTGGTACAGCATGTGAGTTGCCGGCGGCATGACACCCACAGGAGCAGCACCTGGACGATGATGCGACAGGTACTGTTCTTAACCATCTCAGCTCGATTGAGAGGTATGCAGCCTCTATAACTATAGCTGCCGGTGTACAATCCAGCAAGCGAGGTGGTATCGAGAGCATCGAACGGCACAGCTTGCGGTTCCTGCTGCAAATTTCCCGCTCCCCAATGCTCCGCCGACACTCCGTATGCTTCGGGCCTCCAGTCGAGAAGGGGCGGGGATTGCACCCACCTTCCGCGCCGCCGCTTCAACACAAGGGCAAACAATTCCGAGTCTGCAGCTCTTCGAGGTTAGATTCGTCTAATCAGGTTAGAGCTTAGGCTTGAGCAAGGCATGCAGGAACGAAGGAAACCCACAACAGGGACGTTGTACTGTACGAAGAAGGCAGAGCAGCCCAATGTGTAGAACCGGTTCACGGATGGATATTGTGGAAGACAGACGCTGACCTTTCTGTTGCCAAGCTGCTGGTCCGGAACCTTCTGAGTTTAGCTTGTGTTTGAACGAGCAAGAAGCCGTGATGATTCGCCGATATCTTGATGAGAAATTGGCCCCTGTACCCGGCCCTCGGCACTTCTGGGACTCAACAGGAACTTCCCCAGTGGTGATGCCTGGCCCGCCGCAGTGCCCTAGTGGCATTGGGGAGGCGCAGCTACCTCAAGAGATGGCACAGTCACTAGGCAGGTCTGACTACTGGACGCTACGTCAATGACATAAACAGCAGCAGCAGCAACAGCAGTAGCAGCCGCAGCAGTAGCGGAAGAAGAAGCAGAAGCAGAAGCAGCAGTAGTAACAGAATCGGTAGCAGTAGCAGCGGTAGCAGCGGTAGCAGCAGCAGCAGCAGCAGCAGCAGGAGGAGGAGGAGGAGTAGTAGTAGTAGCAGTAGTAGTAGTAGTAGTCGTAGTGGTAGTGGTAGTGGTAGTGGTAGTGGTAGTGGTAGTGGTAGTGGTAGTGGTAGTGGTAGTGGTAGTAGTCGTCGTCGTAGTACTAGTCGTCGTCGTAGTAGTAGTAGTAGTAGTCGTAGTAGTAGTAGTAGTAGTAGTAGTAGTAGTAGTAGTAGTAGTAGTAGTTAGTAGTAGCAGTAGTAGTCGTCGTCGTCATTCTCCACGCAGCGAAAGATCCGAGTTCGCCTAGCGAGCTGACGATATCCAGGTATTCTGAACGCCGGAACCTCGATTGGGTTCTGGAGGGCAGTGCCAGCTCCATCGACTAAGACTACACCTGCTCCAGCATCAGGCATCTCGAATAGGTACCTGACGCATCCACACAATATAGATCTGTCCATCATGCTCGGCTTTGCGCTGCAAGAGTCATCGGTAATCCACCAGTTTTCACCGCCAAACAGTGGTTGTCCCCGAAGGATTGCTCTATAGTGCCCCGAATCAGGAGTCTCCGTAGTGTAGCTGCACTGCAACGACCTGATAGGATGCATACCAGATTCGCAATGTGTCCGGACCCGTAAAGATAGGCATACGAACATTGTCCGAGGCCGTAACCATGGGCCTCACCTCGACATGAGCAAATCGCTGAATCTGCAAGCAGAGAAGGAAAGGCGGGGACAGCAGTGCATAACGTGCCGTCACCTGAGCACTCCACCCTTCAATGGCTGCCTGAAGATCAAAGCTAGGACCTGCCGTCGGGACAATAGCAATCGGGGCAGTGGTAGGCCCCGAATCTAGCGCAACAGTGCCCCTGGGCGCGAAGTTTCTGGCCTCCCAACCACCATTGAACCTACTGTGCGAAAGCCTTGGCAGAAGGTGTAGAATGAGCTCTGCAGCATCATGTTGCCTGTGCACAGACGGCCAGGCTCGCAACAGCATAAGCCACGGCACCGAGTGAAGCACCTGAATGGGCTGGTTTGGTGGAGTACCAACGGGTGGGCACAGCATATAGTGAGGACCTGCGGTGGAGGCGAGATGCGAGCATCATGAAGTCTCGCCTGGAGGATAGCGCAGTAGACAGCATAAATGGTATTTAGAATGCAAATAGCACAGGTTAGATGGATTGTGAAAAACCAAACCGAGCGTGGCTTTGAGAATTTGAGACTGGGTCGCACACTCAGGACTGCGTCTGATGCTGCCAAACCTCCTGAACCAGAGCATCGTAGTTCGGACGATCCCGGCGTAGCCTGCATCACCCCAGAGTGTGCCACGATGCTTGCCCGATCCACTGGTTCAGCGTGTTCCACATTGCTCCGCCCTCCGGGCGAAGGGATAGGCACATCTGGAACTGGATCCAATCTGATGTCACCTCCGTGGAGAGCTTCTTCATCGACTTGAACCTCATCAGGGTCTCCTCTGTGACAGCCTTTCTCATCTGCACCAACTGGGCCAGCAGATCCTCCGCCGGGAGAGGTCTCAATGAGTTGTCGATCTCCAAGCGCTGCTGAGTGGGATTCCAAGTGAGGTGCCGCCAATGCTTGTGCTCGTCGATCCAGTTCAATGCCTTGGCCCTGGCCAAGGCCTCCTCGTCCGCCATCATGTTGGTCAGCCTCTGATGCAGCGAGATCAGCAATTGCTTGAACATGGCAAGCTTCAAGGAAAAGCTGATCTTCTCCGGTTCTTCCTCCTTCATTTTTCTCCACTTCTCCGCTGCGTCGCATAAGACCGGCACCATCCCATCCGCTCCGGATCGCACGAAAAGAGGTAGAGCACCATATCCTGGCGAATTGCCGAGATAATCTGCTCCTGGCGCAGGACAAGCTGAGTGAGGCGGCTCACACGGTATTCCATCCAGTCCGTCTCCTGGCCTCCTGGATACTGTAGATCCTGGGTCTGTGACCAGGGAAACCGCCTGTGTAGCCCATAGCTTGCTGAGCACTCCCCGAGCTTGGTGGGCTCGGTTTGCCCTGTCCTTTGCCCTTGGTGCCCTTGCCCTTGCCCTTGTTCCGGTCTTGTGGTCCCAGCCTTTGCCGTTTGGACATTTCCGCTGACAGAGCCGCTTCCTTGTGCGATCAGGTTGACAATCCTTCCACTCCGGGTGCTGCATGGTGAGATGGTACTTGATGCTAGTAGGGGCAGCCAGCCACTGATAACACAGCGGGCAATGGTGCTGGAGGTATGTTTGGATCTCCGTCATCTCGAGGAGGTCGGTCCACCTTCGCAAGCGCAGTGTCTCAAGTACTATGGGTCGTTGCCTAAGGGGAACAGCCACCTGCATCGATGCTGAGGAGTCGTCCTGTGCAGGGGCATCGCCAGCAGGGATCACAGTCATTGCACACTGGGGAACAACATCTGTGGTGGTCGAGGCCTCTTGAGCAGGAGTGATATCGTGAGCCAATACCTCAGGGAGTGGAGCTACAAAGGAGGAGACATCCGGCAGTCTTGGCTCCAATGGCACAGGGACCGTGGGTCGAACAGCATCGGAGGGCTGTATCTCGAGCTGACGAAGAACCTGGCACCGATTCCGCTTGATATGCTTGATCGGCCCGTCCCATTGGCGAAATGAGTGAGCACAGTGCCTGCACGTAGGCAGCCCATCAGTACCGTGAGCATACCTGTCAAAAGGCACCGGTGCAGCAGCTGGCGTTTTAAGTCCATGCCACTTAGCCTCGTGAGAGCGCAATAGCCGGAAGGAGCTGAAAACACGATGGCATTCCCGACACTGATGTGCTGCAGGGTCAGTGGCTCCCTCGTTGGCATTCACAGGCACCTGCCATTGCCGTTGTACCTGAAGATGAAGTGTAGCGGCGACTTCACGAGCTGATTCCGCCTGCTCCACAGTCACAAAGCTCGTCTGGGCACTCAGGCAAAGCAAACTGCGATGCAAGGCTTCGGCCTCCTGTTGTAGGTGCTCAAGTACAGTACGCAGAGAGCATCTGTGCAGGAGATCGCGTGTGGATTCTTTCTGAAGATGAGCAAATGATCGAGTGATTGCGCACACCTGTTTGGTCATCATATGCTGCATTCGCAGAATATCCTTAGCACCTGGGTTGGATGCAGCAATGCCATAAAACAACGTGGGGAGCACAGTAGAGCTCCACAGGCTGATGCGATGTTTCTGTGCAAGATGTCTGGTGGAGCATAAGACACCCCGAAGCCTTTGCCATGCTTGGTTCGCGGCTTGCAGCCTGTAAGTGACCGCTTGTTTGGCCTGGGAGTGATACGAAATGCGGATTCCCAGGTACGTATGTTGATCACGCAACGGGATTTCATACACCTGACCCGATGGACTACGAAGCCGCAGCAGATCACCCTCATGTGTGTGCTTGAGATGTCGCCTCAGCCAGCCCTTCATAAAACTGCCCCGGTGTCGCAGTAACAAGGCCGACTTGGCTGAGTTGATGACCATGCCATGGGCAGCAAGTGCATCAAGAACCTTACTGAAGCGATACACCATGTTGTCCAGCTCACGAGTGCTCTGCATAGTGTCCTTGAGGTGTATATCGTCCGCGTAGATCGTGGAGTTCTGCTCAAGCCAAGGAGCCGTACTGAGCGGATCCCCCTCGTCAAGAAGCTCTCGGTATATCTGAGCCAGGGCGAGCGTCCAGAGCAACGGAGCTAATTTACATCCTTGTCTTGTGCCTCCACCCTGGCAGTATGGCCAAGGTGCGTGAGGACATAGGAGATCTCAGAGTGCCAGGACATAATTTGATGTCTTAACTCGGCAGGTACACCCGATGCAAGCAATGCCTTGTCCAGCAGTCGCCAATCCATGAGGTCAAAGGCGCTGGACAAGTCCAGCGATAATTGCACGCCTGCGAAGTGAGGACATGGTTTCGGCTGCTGCGCGTGCCGATCCACAACTGTGGGTGTTGAAAACGAACATCGACTCTGCACAAGCTGACAATGTGTGGCAACCCGATGTATGGCTTGAGCAGCATTACGCCCCGACAAATATGCAAATTGTGCCTGGTCCGCCAGAAACCGCTCCGCAAAGGGTCGCAATTGCGCCTGTAGTATGGAAGCGTATGCACGGCCGCTTGATTCCGTTAACCCTATTTCTCTCAGATTCTTTGGTGACAGTGGTCGTGGAATCTTCGGAATGAGAGTCAACCATGCATTGCGCCAAAGAGCCGGAATTTGAGGCCATTGCCTGCACCACTGGCACAATAGAGGCGCAACGATGTCCGAGGTCAGCCTCCACAAGGAGTTCGTGGCGAGGCCCGGTGGGGTAGCTTTATGCGGAGACAGTTTCGAAAGTGCCATGGTCATCTCAGCCTCTGTGACGTCGATGCAAATGGGTGCTCGAGGAGGGCCCTGGATTGTGGAGTCCTCATCCTCTGCATACAGTTTCCTGTAGTGTGTTTCGAGCTGCTGAAGCTGTGTCTTGGGATCCTGCAAGTGACCGTCGGAGTCACGTAGTTGGACCTTCGGCTTTGAGGACTTGGGAGCAAGAGTGCGTACTCCAGCATAGAGCCTGCGGGAGTCCCCTGAGCAGGCAGCAGCCTGCAGATCCTGGAGCCTGGTGTGGAACCAGTGCTTGGCTTCCTTGCCCGCACGTCGGAAGGCCTTGTGTGCAGTCTTGAAGAGATGGTAGCACCTGGCAACATAGAGCGGATTGTGCCGTCCTTGTGCTTTGGTAGTCTTCCAGGCTCGGTAGGCCTGCCACATGGAACGGAACGAATTCCAGCCTGCATAGGTGGCGTCTGCCACAGTGCCAACCTATGCTGACCTGTGGGCGGCGGGAAAAATTGGGAAGCACAATGGACCAGGGTGGTGTGCAATTGCTCAAGGTCAGCGACTCCAGGCAAGGAGGCCTGAACAGCCGAGCGTAGGCCTTGTACGCGAGGGTCCCAGTCGGAACTGCAGACCTGAATCAGTCCCCAGTGGTCCCAGGCCCGCTGAGGCTCGGCAGATTTATTGAGAGTGTGAAATCGCTGAAGCGGCACACTCGCCTTCAGTGGGAGGTGGTACCTCGGAGTCTCCATGCAGCCAACCCCAATCGAAGAGGTTTGGCCTGTCTGGCTCGGTCGTCCGATTGGCGAGTTCTCATGAAGATGTGATCAATGAGGCTCGCACCCTAGTTGTGATGAAACGTAGCACCAGCAGCCTTGCACCACGAGTTAAGGTGGAGCAGAGAAAAATCCTCGATAAGGTGCTGTAGCCGAGCCTGATCAGGTGGATGTGTTCCCGAGCTGACTCCGGAGCGGATCCTGGCACCGGTGGCAGCACATGGCTTAGCCTGGGTATTAAAGTCTCCGAGCACGACGAGTGTGTTTCGGGCAGGTATGGTCGCAAGTATCTTGCCAATGCACTCCCAAACCGTCAACCGTACTGTCTTAGCTGGCTGCGAAGCGAGAGGACGAGAGTTGTACGGCTTTTGATGGACGTGCAGCACGTCGGCAGCCCATCGCGGTCGTGGATGAGCCGGAGATGTTGTACCCTTCCCGGTTGAGGGTCGGCGTAAACAATCCGGCAATGCCGGGAAACCTGCTTGCTGATCATAATAAGGAGCCCGGCAGATTTGTTGTCAGTGGTCGGGGAGGTGTAGACATCCCAGGTGGCCGTGGGGAACTGGGGTGCAACCTTGTCCGTCCAATGCGTTTCCTGAATGCATACAATCTGGGGACACTCTTCAGGCTTCATTTGCTCAAGTGTTAAGAGGAATTCCTGCCACAGGGCCTGTGATAGCCCTCCGGCATATTCCAGGAAAAAAACAGCAAGCGACCCTGTGATGCTTGCAGATAGGCCTTCTGCATGCGACAGGCAGCTGTGGGTGCAGGTCGTTGGCCCCGGTAGCTCCTGCAGAGTTGCTGGAGAGTGCAAACGCGGCCACGATCGATACACAGTATGCTGGGCCTGGTCCTGCGCAGCACGGCGAATAGCACGTTTATAAGATCTCTGACTGGCAAATGTATACTCACCGGAGACCGTCGATGCCAGTCCAGCCCCCGCAGAGCCACAGCCATCGCAGGACTCAAGGTAGGAGCTGAGGGCACACCATAGACCGGCCTGGGCAGAGCCAGCAATGTCGGGAACAGGAAAATGGGTCGAAGGCGCAATGCAAGAAACGAGGATCTGCCAGGGGCACGACCCATCTCGCTTGCATAAGGTGAGGGGTTTTTTTTGCACGGGGACAGCAGAGCGCTGAGCAGGCGCTGGCAGATGCACTCTCAATCGTGGCCTCCTGGGACGAGAGGAACATGGAGGGATAAGATGTAGAAGTGCTGGAGCCCAGACAGTGACAAGGCGAATCGGAAGGCCCTGCTTGCAGAGGAAAAGATACCTGGGTTTGGGCTGCGGAGGGACATAGGCAGGCTGCCATTTCCCGGTGTAGGAGGGCATAGCATGGACACCTGCAGTTGTGGCTCCTTTCCCAATGCGCAGTTGACAGATCGATGAAAGCGGGGACGGAGCCAAGCAAATGGACCAAGCAAAGCTCGTAGTGTCCCCTAGAACAGAACAAATAGTGTGGATGTGTGAGGGGTCCCGCGGAACTGCCCTCACGGCACAGTGTAGTTTGTAAGGCTCCTGCCACGGCTTCCCGTCCCCCACCACATGGGTGAGTTTCGGTCTCGTGAGCGGGTGGCAACCGTTCACAACCCTCGCCCCTATCGACTGAGACTGACTCCCAAGTGAACAACTCGGATTTGGGACCGAGGCAGCTCCAAGACATGTTGTCAGTAATTTGAGACAGTGTATGCATGCCAGGCGGCAGCACCGTCGCTTACTTGTTTCGCGTCGCTTGCGCAAAGATTTGCCCAGTCGCTTGCGCAAAGACGGGTGTCGAATCCATTGTAAAAACCATAGGAACGTGCACTTCGGTCTTTTTCGGAAATGGCTTCAAGAAGCATGGAAAAGTGTCGAATCCGTTGTAAAAACCATAGGAAAGTCCACTTTGCAAGTTAGCCGAAATTGACGACATTTGCGCGCCAAAGTGCCGAATCCATTGTAAATACCATAGGAAAGTGCACTTGCCCAGTCGGCAAGTGCTGGCCGAAAAGTGCGTTTTGAGCTGTTTTAGGAAACATCTGACAGACCATCGAAAATGCACTTTTGGAGTCTCGAAAAGCATGTTTTCGTTGGTTTCCGGATAAGCGTTTTCAGAGCATGCTTCGGGGGCTGAAAACGGCACCATCGAAAACGCAGTTTTGGAGTCTCGAAAAGTACGTTTTGGTTGGTCCTGGGGGGGTGGGTCTGGGGGGGCGGGGTGGGGGGGTCGGGTTGGGGCTGGCTTCCTGGCTGGGGTGGGGTGGGGGGCTAAGAACGTCAGGACGCTTGCAGCAAAAGCAGTTTCATTGTTTCCATGGAAAACGTATTCTTGGAGGCTCGAAACGCACGTTCCGGTTGGTTCTTGGGGGGGGGGTGGGGGGGTGGGGTTGGGGGCTAAGAACGTCCGTGTTTGGCGCGTGGAGCAAGCGAAGTCGCGTTGGCACCAGTACGTTCGGTTGGTCCTGGGGGGGCGGGTGGGGGGGTGGGGTGGGGGGCCAAGAACGTCCGTGTTGGAGCAAGAGAAGTCGCGTTGGCAGCAGTACGCTCTGGTTGGTCCCATGGGGGGGCGGGTGGGTGGGGGGTGGGGTGGGGGGCTAATAACATTCGATTTTGACGCTCGTTGGCAGCAGCATGTTTTTGTTTGTCCCAGGGTGCGAGGGGTGGGGTGGGGGGCTAACAACGTTGGTAATTGACGCATGCAGCAAGAGAAGTCGCGTTGGCACCAGCACGTTGTTGTTGGTCCCAGGGGGGAGGGTGGGTGTGCGGGGGGCTAATACCGTTCGTGTTGGACGCGTGCAGCAAGAGAAGTGTCACTGGCAGCAGCACGTTCTTGTTGGTTCCAGGGGGGGGGCTAATAAAGTCCTTGTTCGACGTGTTTGACGCGGGGGGCTAAGAACCATTTTTTTCATGTTAGTTCCAGGGGGGGCGGGTGGGGCTTGGTTGGAGAGGGGGGGTGGGGTGGTCGAAAAGCACGTTCCGGTTGGTCCTGGGGGGGCGGGTGGGGGGGTGGTGTGGGGGGCTAAGAACGTCCGTGTTTGGCACGTTTTGCAATCGAAGTCGCGTTGGGGTCCTGGGGGGGCGGGTGGGGGTGGCGCGTGTTGGTAATTGACGCTTGCAGCAAAGGAAGTCGCGTTGGCGCCAGCACGTTCTTGTTAAGTTCCAGGTGCGGAGGGTGGGGGGTGGGGGTGAGCCAATAACGTCCGTGTCTGACGCGTGTGAAAACAGGCGTTAAAGACCGACACGGCCAAGCCGAATCCTGTGACCTGTGCAGCGAAAGGCGCTCGGAGCCTGCAAAGCACCAACTCTGAACGGACCGCCGAAATGTGCTTTTGCAGCCTGGAAAAACAGGTTTTGGAAGGTCCGAACCTCATGCCGCTCGGAGGCGAGGATAGCAAAAAGTAACCGCTGCTTTCGTCCCCCTGACTCGCTCGTGCTGGGTTCCACATGAAGAAGCTTGGCTTGGCCTGGCCAGTAGCCGAGACCTCGCGTTGGACGCGCCGCACTACTGCCTCCCGCAAACTCCGGACCGACCTCCAGAACGCAATTTTGCAGGCTCCAAAAGCGCGTTTTGGAGGGGTTCCGAGGACAGAACACCCGCAGAATCCAAGGAGAAGAAGTGCACGGTGCAGGAATAGCCTTGCAAAACACGCTGTCTTTCCACGATCCGCGAATAACCAACATCGTTTGGAATGCATGCGGCATGAAGCAAAGCCGCCGCTCCCGTCGAGGTTTCGAGTCGATTGCTTACTTTCAAACGCTTGAAAAGAGGGGCTAAAGAGAGACGCGGCGAAGCCGAATCCTGTGGCCCTGCCAGCACTTTAACAACTTCGGAGCCAAAAAGCGCGATTTCGAGCGTGCACGCCCAAAGCCGGAAACCACGGCCCTGCCGACGTTTCATGCACTTTCAGGCCTCCCCAACATCGCGAAGTTACAAGTAACGAACTCCGAATTCATTGGCCCTGCCAATACAAAACGCACCTCCGGGCGTACAAGCGACCGCCCAACGCTTTGCACAAGCGAACGGGCAAATCTTTGCACAAGTGACCGCTCAGCCATGCCAGGCCTATCTGCAATGCTTTGCCATGCTAGACGGTACGCTAGCGTCACAGTAGGAGTCAGGCTGGCACTGCTAATCCATGGCTTCCAGGTCCAGCTCAGATCCGAAGGTTCCCAAATAAGTATCCGACACCGCAACAGCTGAACTTGGGGTGAAACAGATCTTATTGGTAGCGGACTGAGGTCGCCGAGGATATGGGGTCTGACGTGGCGTCCTTTGGTTGAACTGAAACCTGCACCAAGCGCACCTAGGGTCCGCCATTCTGTACGCCAGTCGGGTGCCCGGTATATCCTGCAGACAGAGCGAACAGAAGTACAGCCCAGAACAGAGCTGAGCGGATGCAAGCCTGTGCCCAGTGTGTCTGACAGACCTAGGAGAGAGCACAAAACCCAGACCAATCGTTGCCGGCAAGCCAGGGATGCCACTGGGGAGCGAGCTGCCTGTAGCCCGGAGCTGCCGTCAGATGGCAGGCTCACATCATTCACCACAGCGGGGCCAGGCCGCGGAAGACGAGAGCAGACCGCGCATGGCCCGTGGGGCCGTACTTGATACGCATCCGGCCAGCCTTGTTGCCAATGTAGGAGGCAGACCGGGATGGCCGGAATCAAAATGCAGGAAGACAGGCCTCGCCTGCCAAGATGCATGCATGTCGCCGAGCATCTGCAACATCTGAGTCGAGTGCCCTGGTAGAGCGGGTGGTGTAGACCCATGAATGCCCAGACTGATCCAGGCCCCAGGCATGAATGCAGTGGGTTCGGCCTGCCCTAGCACAGCACAGATGGGTAGCCGAATCGTCAGCGATGGCAGGTCTGAGTCGTGGACTCAGGGTATCCCGACACACCTCATGGCTCAAGAAGGCAGTCCTCAGTAGAGGAAGAGCGGGAAAGGTGGTCCCCGCGCAGCTGGGCTGACTGGCAGTAGCGTGGTTCCAGGAAACCTGTTGACATGTACGCATAGCACCACTGAGCAAGTCACCTGGCAGCCAAAGATGGGTCAGCAGAACCCATGGCCCTGGACACGGCTGATCAGTGACATCCACTAAGTTCGGCAAGCTAGTACCAGCCTGAACGGCAATCCTGTTGCCAGTGTCACGGAGCCTTTGGTTGAGAGAGCTACGATCAGGGATCAAGTGCAGTGTTGGCTCCAGGCTGGAGGTTGCCGTATTGATGGTAGGCTCAGACCTGAGCAAGGGCACGAAGCAGTACGAAAAGGATGGGGCAGCACTGATTAGAAGAGAGCGCCTGCAAGGCATGCAACGGTCATCAACTGTGTATACAGCAGCAGATGGGTCGACAGAGTCTGTGCAAGCGCCGGCGGCTCTGTTGGCCTGGAAAATCTCTTCCATTTTGCGAGCCATTCTCCTCCTTCCTCCTGATCTTCTCGCTCTGTGCCGGAGTTCGAGCTGCAGTGGTCCGTCTTCGCTTGGCCGGGGGAGGCAGAGGAACCTCGTCATCCATTTGGTCACTAACGTTGAACCAGATAGAGGTCGTTTGTGGACGAGGTAGAGGTCGCGATGGCAGCTGGAGAGGCCGCGGGTAGAGCCGAAGCTTCGGTGTGAGCAGCAGCAGAGTCGCTAGCATCAGACGGGGTAGGAGTCGCTGCAGCAGTATCCACAGGCAACGGATCCTGGCGGCCAGCAGAGGAGTCCGGTGCCGCATCCTTTGTCGCTGATGCCTACCTTCAGTGGGCTCAGTGTGCACAGCCCTTTCAGCCGCCTTGATCTTCGGCTTGGGACGAAGTCTGCCACGATCATCAACATCCGGTCGCGGGTTCTCCTCATTCGGCGACGGACTCGGGGTGCGCGGCGGCGGCACTCCGCGACCAGAAGTGCCTGGCCGAGATAGGGCCAGTGTCCTCCTGCAGGATGGGCGCCGGTCTGGGCCGTCTCCATGTGACCTCCTTGGTGCCCGGGTGGAAGTAGTAGTGCCTTCCCGTCTGTGGCTCCTTGTGCTTTTCCCAAGGCTTCTCGAGCTCATCATCCCGGAGGGGTGGGTACAAATAGCGACCAGACGAGCCCTTTTTTGGCGCAGCAGGTGGCACCATGGTGCTTAGCGCCTGCCAGCCAAGCGCAAATCGTGCGCTGAACACCGTCAGCGGTGGAGGCGTGAGCCTCCATCGGAGGGGAGGCTCACATCCATCGTCCTCCGTTGCCTGCGAACTGGCACAGGGTTCAAGATGATTGATGGATATCGTGTAGGTCTTCTGCTTCTCCTCCTTGCGGCCAGTAAGCAGCTTCACATTCCTCGCTTGATCATCCTGATCTCGGCTGGGAAGGA